TTTTTTTGTTTCAAGGTTGGTTCCCTTATAGCGTAATAAACCCCACAAAAGGGTACCCCTTATGTTTATTACACTACTAAACTTTCAACCCTGACCCCGAAACCCTAAACCCGAAACCCCCCAAAAGGGGTACCCTCATGAACAATTTCTTCCTGGGGCTACCTAGGCAGGGACTCCTTCGCCGGCGAGACGCTTCGCCACTTTGGCTGGGGGGAGGACTGCTGTGGCTCCTGGATTGCTAGTTCAGGAACTTGGGTTAGGGTTTCGGGTTTAGGGTGTAGGGTTTAGGTTTTAGGGTTTAGGGTTTAGGGTTTAGGTTTTAGGGTTTAGGGTTTTGGGTGTAGTCCATGTGCCTACCGAGTATATACTTGGGCCTTCAAGGTGTTCCCATATAGTCGCTTCAGGACCCAAGTATATGCTACCTGGGTACATGGACCCTTGGGGTACGTTACCTGAATACAGAAACTCTACTCAGCAAACTTTCGTATGTACCATGTATCCAGAATATGGCAGACCCAGAGTCGGATGCCCGGAGCTGGCTCATGGTTGGCTGGCTCCGAAGCACGCTGTGGGCGTGAAGGTGCTGGCAAAGTGCTTGGACGTGACTGGCCCTACCGCTTGGACAGGCTGCCAGAACACCACCCATAGGCAGTGGACTGAAGTTTCCGCTGTACATATATCCCTACTTAAGGCTTTATAGAGGCCAGATTCGACTGCACAGGCCTCTGCGTAGGGTTCAGGGTCTAAACCCTACAAAACCCTTAGCCTTAAACAACAATAGCCCTAAACTGCCCTAAACCCTCAAGCCCCAAAGCACTGATCCGCACATTCGCCTCGAAGCCGGGAATTATCGGGGGCCTGAAGCCCTAGACAGATATTTACTAGATCAGTGTTAGGGATCCTTTTTACTTTTTGGCTTATGGGCTTTCTTATATATGAACAAAAAGGATCCTTTTTTTCTTCCTAGGGGAACAGGGATTAAGTTTACTCCACCCTGAACCTCAACCCCTCTCAGCCTAACCCCTGCACTCCGAAGCCCTCACCCTCGACTCCCAGACCTCACTTGGAGGTTCGTGGTACTTAGTATCTAAGTATACCTGTACTTAGAACTGTACTTAGAACCATATTATTAGGGCACTTAGGGGGCTTATAAGTGGGTTATAAGTACATTTATAATTATAGTTACTAGGTACCATGAACCTCCAAGCAGACCCTAAGATTAACGGTACGTTGTAATGTGGGACCTGGCCTAATTATTGGAGGAGAATAGTGTCGCTTCAAGGTATGCAGGTAGGAGGCCTTACACTCAGGGGCCCGCAACAGACCTCCAGCCCTAAACCCCAAACCCATACCCTAAACCCCCAAACCTTCAACCCTAAACATTTGAGAGCGATCACGGGATAGGAAGCCCTTGGCCGCTTCTACCGACACTTGGGCAGCCGTGCCGACGACTCTCCTTCAAAGGAGGAGCGTTTCCCAAAACCCAAAACCCTAAGAACCCAAAACCCATTTTTTGGTAGCTTGCCTGAGAATCCTCTGCGGTGTTTTTTGGAAGTAACCTACAACAAAGTAGGTTTGGGGTTCAACATTGTGCAGCTTAGCGTTAACATGTTGAAGCCCAAACACCTTCTACTCTAGCTTCACCTACCCTTCACACGACAAAAAGCAGGGTCCTAAACTGGTAAGGATTCTGCCAGACCCCAAAGTTCTTTTAACTCGGTAGCCCAGGGGAACCCTTTCTTTGGTTCAAGGTCCCCTTATAAAATAACAAAGCCCAAAAGAGGGTGACCCTCATTATGGAAAGGCTACTGGACTGCCAAGTCAAAGGTATGCCCAAAACCCTAAACCCAAAACTCAAAAACCCAAACCCTAAACCCAAGGGGTATGTTGAATGTTTTCTTAGAAGCCCCAAGACATGGCTGGCTGCCTCGTGACTTAAGACCTAGCGGCCTATAAGTGCTCATATCACCTTTTTGGGGTTTAGGGTTTAGGTTTTGGGGTTTAGGGTTTAGGGTTTGGGGTTTAGGGTGTAGGGTTTAAGGTCTTCAGCCAAAATGCAGAACCCTGCCCACATGATGTTTTCCGTTATCCGCACGCGGCCTCACCAGGAGGGCGGAAGCGTCCAGGCGCCGGCTGTGCTGTAGGGCTCGTGGGTGTTGAGGCGTC